TAGCATGTGCATTTTGTGTGTAATGCATGTGAAGTTCTTTTTCTTGAATGTGTATATGTGTGTGTGTATATGTACGCTCACTTCGGTCTGCCACTTTCAACTTTTCCAATCAACGGATAATTTCATTTGGAGAGCACTTTTTTCACTCTCTCGGTGTTGTACTGCCCTTCACTTGTTATTCTTCCCAGTTTTTTATTATAACCATCCAATTTATATTCGCCTTGTACTATTTTGGATCCATTTCCTTTGAACGTAAGCATGTTGTACAATATTTTATTATTACCCGATCAAAACCCTCCCACTCTCACCTATAAAAAAAAACACGGCCGAAACTTTTTTTTCGCATTCGATTTTTAGTTGGTCCTTTTTTATTCGCCGGCCCAATCGAAGCACAGGCAAATGACATGTATCAAACGGACGGGAAAAAGAACGGTGCACATCAACCGAAAAAAAGGAGCAAAGAATGAAACAAAATTACAAAATCTAAAAATCGTGCATCAAATGAAATACACGGTATGGCAGGAATAAAAAAAGAGCGGGAGTGAGCAAAGGCACACGCGCGCATATACATTTTTCAATCATTTGCACAACGAATTAGCAGCGAAAACACGAATTCATTAAAAGCTTTAGTTGTTTTTTTGGCGCACGTGTGTTTCTGTCTGACATTTTTCTTGCCTCACCGTACCGTCCACCCGCCCGCCACGTCGTTGTTCACATTCCGCACGTTATCGCGGGTAGTCGATATTTTGTATTTTATTTTGAGTAACATTTTCGCTACTTTGCTTATTTTACCATTTCCGTTTCGATTTTAAGCTTGATATAACAATCGAGAAGCAAACGAATTGAAAAAACTGATTGATTTATGCAGTGAACACGTTCAAGCGGCAGTCGCACACAGCAACTTTTTCTTTCATTCTCTCCTTGCGTCTTATTTTCATTCGTGTGTTTTCTTCTTCTTCTTCTTCTTCTTTTTCTTCGTTGGTTCGTTGTTTGAGTGAGTGGGTGAGTGTGAGCTAAAGCGCGCGTTTGCTTTGTCCTATTGCCTTACGAAGTGTGCAAGCATTACATCGGAATCGGATAGCTTTGTTATGGCTCGGGAGATTGTTTGATCTGAAGAGAAACAGGTTGAATTGCGAATTGAACCATTTTATTGTCTTTCATCACGTTTCGATTTTATAATGTAACCCAGTGAGTTAGTGGGTGTGAACATACAATTGTGATGCTACTATTGCTGCTACAGTTGCTACTTTTAAAGTTCCATTTCCATTTTCAAGCATTTGTTTATTTATTTGTTATCTTTTTTAACGATAAACAATTCATTGAATGTGAGCAATGGAGAAAGCAACATGAATCGAAAAAAACGACCAATTCCTTTCCACTCTCTCATTCTTTGTATGTCGGTGCACGTTCAGGGTTGTTTCTCGTTTCTCATTTTCTTTATTTATTTCGCTCACTTTCCCTTTCGATTCCCGATTCACGTCATTTAATTGTATTTTTATTGGCAATTTTTAAAAACATAAAATATTTATTGCGTAGATTCTACATGGAGCGGAAAAGATATAAAAAAACAACGACGACAACGACGACGACGACGACGACGACGACGACGATGATGAAGAAAATGTAACATTATCGAATGGAATGAATAAGGCAATAATTCTCTTTCCAATCGCATTGTCCGTGTGCTCGCGCGCGCTAGCACTTCTGATGCGGTAGATATTCAAGCATCCTTGAGCAAAAAAAAGTGTGCGATGAATGAGCGTGGTGAGCGCGCCCATCCGCTACGAAAGAGTGATAAATAAAAGAGGTATCCAACCGAAACATATTGAATTAATCGACAGAATGAGCGTTGAGAGATGTTGTCAAAATCATTCCGATAATGGAGCTAGCACCCAGCACAATGAAAATTTGTGTGTATCGATACGATACAATTCAATGCAACGTATAGCATAAACAAATGCCATAGAAAGGACAAAATGCTCTTTTCCTTCGGTAGCAACAGCGAAACAAAAAAAAATGTAAGAGTGAAAAAAGAGAATTGAAGAAAAAACCCAAAGAGATGCGTCAACAATGAATTCGCAACAATATTGCGTAAATGGTCAATTTAAAACACAGTTGAATGCAGCTCTCAGTGTCAAGGGTTAAAATTGACATTAGTTTCAATTGAAATTAAAACACTTCATCATCATCATCATCATCATCGTCACTGCCATTGTCGTTGTTGTCATGCAAACAAAAGCGAAATGAATATAAAAGTTGAAAATTGCATGCAGCATGCCACCAATCTAAATGATCACTTGTTTGCTTACATTGTATGGACAAATTCATGATGGAATGCATTAAAATGCAGGTGCAATTGATATAATCGGATGAAATTCACAGAAAACGCCTTGTTGATGTGCGAATTCGAAAGGTTAAACTGACAAAAGAAGAAGAAGAAGAAAAAAAAAGCAAGATGGCATTAACATTAGATTAGGTTTTATGATCATCATTGTTATGATTCTGGTCTGTTCACTGACAAATGACACATCACACAACCGGAGGAGAGCACACATTAATAGTCTGCCCGCATCTCAGGCATTTTTCACGTTGATTCGTTTCGGTAATGCTAGAAATTTATAGCGGACATTTCTCATTATTATGATTGGTGTGCGCATATTTTCACAGCCACACTGCCGTTACTGGTGCTGTGTGGACGCGCCATCGCCCCGTACTCCGAATAGGCCAAGCCAAACGAAACTTCGGGCAAGTGTGCGAGAACAACGGGGCCAAGTGCAAGACAGAGATGCGCTTCGGCACAACACTCATTCTGACATCATCACCCTCGTAATCTCTCATTGTTTGAGAGCCATAAAAACTAAAATATTATGATCAAAGTTAATGTCGAGTATTTGTATTTACGTTTGAAATTATTTCTCTTTTGTTTTTAGTTGCTGCTCTTTTTTTCCCTTTCTTTCTTTTATATGTCTTACATCGCGCTCCATCGTTGTCGCTTCTGTGTGTTTGAGGCGTGTTCTCTTTTTTCTTCTTCCATCATTGTTTTCAATAAAATTGTGCGAACTTCTTGCGAGTTTTTCTGTGTATGTGTGTGTGTGTGTTTGTGTTTGCATTCGTTCTCACTCGATCTGTTGTTGTCATGCATTCGCAATGATGCTACTGCTATTTTGCACAAATGATAATGAATACGACGACTTATCTTCGTCGGGCAACAAAATTATGCGACGTTGGACCGAGAAAGAGTGTATGTGTATTTGTATGTGTGTGTGTGTTGGTATTGAAAAAAAAAACAACAACAACAACCGAAAAAAGTACACGTCATAAAAAAAACTTTTCTCCCATTTCATTGTTTTAACGTTTTCTCGTGTTCGTTCTGCTTTTGCCATTTTCTTTTCGCTTGCCATTCGTATGCTCCGTTTCATTTCATTAAATTCCCTTAAACTTCATCCCGTAGTTATAAAACATTGACTGAAGAAATATTAGGTTTCACGCAAATAAATGCGATTTCAAGTTAAATATCGTTCGCTCTGAAAATTGCTCGATTTTCTGCTACGCAAAATCACAGCCGGGGTAAAATGTGTACAAAATATAGTAAACACATACATACACATAGCCCGAATCAAAGTCGTTTACACAAAAAGAGCGCGCCGAACGAATTGGAATATGACAGTGGGGTTTGCATAAATAAACAGACGGTTGCCATTCTGCATTTTAAACAAAACTCTTTCTCGATCAACAACAACAGCAGCAGCAGCAGCAGCAGCAGTAGCAGAAGCAGCAGAAGCAAATTGAATCCAGTGGCAAATGGCATATCAAATGTGGCAAACCCGGAAAGGACGCACCAAAATTGACATTTTCAAGTGGTGAAAACAGTTCAACACGCAAATGTCTTTCTTCCTAATTTTACTTGATTCGTTTTTTTTCCCTTCGCTCCCTTCGTTCCATTTTTGGAAGGTTAATTGGATTGCTTCTTCATCACATGCTAACATAAGATCTCTCAATAAAATTTATATTCACATCGAAGTAGAGGAAGCTGAAGAGAAAAAAAAATCCGAACACAACAATTCAACCGCACGTTCAGGTAACGGCTTAACAATTCACTCGTTATGGAATTGGCGTCACAAAGTAGTTTAGTGATGTGTACGCTGTCATCCGCTTCATTGCGGCATTGAATTACAAACAAACAACGCTTATTAAATGCTCTTTTTCATGAGCTCCATATGAGAAAACGACGACGACGACGACGATGAAGAAGGAAAACATGATGCGAACACAAAATGAACCGATATACATATATATATATATATCGAACAACAGTATCAAACGTTGTACGTGCAATACAATAAAATGAGCGTTTGGCATTCGAAAGATCTGATTTCGTTGCTTTTTGTGTTATCGCAAGAAAACGGAACGAACGCGAACAATGTGGAAAATACAATGAATCTATAATTAAAATGACACGATATGACTTGTACAATGGTCCCGTGTACAATACAATATATCACACAACATGCAAATATATTGCCGGTGTTTTATGTGTAGGGATATTGTGTTGCACGACGTTGTGTGTGTGTGTGTGTGTGTGTGAGTGAATGTGGATTTGTATATGGCTGTGTGCTTTCATCGTTCGTGATTTCTGCAGAGAGAATGGGGGCAAATTCATCATTTCAATGCAATTTGTGTACATCATTCGAAAATATGCTGCTAAGATGAAAGAAACATTTCAACTTAAGAAAACGATATAATCCAACTGATTTCAAATCCGTTTAAACGATTCCGAATTTATACGTGCACACAGATAGAGTCAGAAACTGTAGAAATGAACAAATCCAACAGCGCTCGCAACAGAAGAAAACGAACAAAAATCTCATACTATAAATATACAAACAAAAGATGTTTTTCAATTTTATTTTACTTTGATATATCCCGTGCTTCATATCAACTGTACTAAATGCTTGTTTCTTTTTTTTTCCTTTGCTCTCTTTTTCTCGTTTACTTAACAGGATAAGGCTCACCTATAGATATTAATATCAAGGTCATAATCATCATTATTTCTTTGGGGCTTTTACGTTCTCAACAAACCAATAACAACAACAACAAAATGATGTCGCAACAAAGGAGCTTACACACACTACTCTACACAGTGCTAACAGGTAAGGCACATTTTCATTTTCTTCTTTCATTTCAATTTTAGCAGTCGGTGTGCTGCTTGTTGTCATCGTCTTCTTCATATCAAACTGGACCAAAGTGTGTCTTTTGTTTCGTCGACAATCGAGCACGAACGCACGTAGTGCCTGTCCAAATGACAGTGATGAGTTGGGTGCGTTCGTGAGACGATGTTTTAGTGTACAGGAAAGAAAAAAGGAATAGAAAACACACAGAACATTCTTAACTATTTTTAAGACCAAAATCAAATTGGATGCCTGTCCAAATGAGCAAAAGTCATCCCGGACCAAAAACTCAATTAAAATTGCTGACGAATGGCAAAACGAACCAAAGCCAACGTAATTAATTCACTTGAATACACTCTATTGAATGGCAACGTAATTGTTTTTGTGACGAAAGAAAAAAAAATACGAAGAAGAAAAAAAGGGAAATAATTACAATATTTACGAGGGATGAGAAGATAATGTTTCCTTAACCGTGTTCGTCGATAACGGAGCACGAGCCAAAGCTAATCAGATGGAATTGTATAAAATCCATTGGTAAAATTAACGCCAGTATATGTGCCGAAGCGATTTCTTTCAGTTGATTCCTTCATTACAAGTGCCCATCATTACGATGCGCGCGTATATGTGATGACGAGTGAACAGGACCGCGCGCGCGCGCTCACTCTCTCACACAGGGGAGGGGATGTTGTGAGGTCATTGTGATGCTTATCTAAATCGGATTTCTTGGCCCTTGTGTGAGTTTCAATGCTCCAACAGCAGTGAACTTGATGCTCGCTTCCTTTTTTCATCTATTTGTCTCTCTCTCTCTCTCTATCCAACATATTCATTGACTTTCTATCTCTCTTGTCGCAAACATTTAACCTAATGTCTGTCCATTTAAAAATACATCCAATCTATAGCTGTCCGGTCGGTTTCATTGTGCAGAGAGCAAAAATATTCATCATAATCCAAAGCTCTCAGAGAGTGAATTCTAGCGAAACGCATTGCATCGCATACATACGATTTTTAGCTACTTACATACACACCGGCTTCCCTGATAGCTCATCGTGTGCCCGAAAAGCATATTAATGGAAAAAGATAGAAAGAAAAAATCGGAAGCAGAAAAAAACCGACAAAAAATAGAAACAGCGAGAGAGCGCAAAAGCTCGTGAAATATTATGGTGCATCTAGAACCAATATTGCGAGCAACGAGTCAAGCTAATGGATTAATAAAAACGGATGCTTCAAATCCGTTTGTCCAAAACGGCAAATGCACACAAATCATCAAATATCCTCTTTGGTCTCTGGTATTACACTCAAATCATACTTCAAACGATTGCACCTTTTTGTTTGGTTCTTCTCCACGTTTCGTCTATTTATCTCTCTCTCTCTCTCTCTCTTTCTCTACTGTTTTGTTGGTCCTTGAAAAATTAAATGGATATCCATGCAAATGAAAATCATTATGGTTAAAGCTCATTAGCTTCGAAGTTTTCAACGAATTGATGCCGCATCCTTTTAATTATTGATTTTGTTGCCATTAAGGAAATTCCATAAAATCAACTTTTCAGCAACAAAAAGCGAAATTACAATAGCTTTGAAATTGCATTCAAGCTGATCGTGGACAATAATTTGAGAGAGGGACAGAGATGGTGCTCAATTGATTCAAGTGCAAAAAGAAAAAAAAATTCCACATAATGATTGGCAATCAAAATAGCAAAATGTCAAATTTCCCATCGCTTTTTCATTGAATTCAAATAGAAAAACCGGAATTTCAATTCCATCCGCGCGGCGCACTTAGTTAATGAAGTGAATCCTTGAAAAGTATTCAAGAATTTCGATGAATCCGTTAAATTAGTTGAAACTGGAGTTTGATGAGAGAATTTGATGCGCTAAACCTCTCCGACTTTCGCATAATTCCGATGGAAATAATGCAATAATTCTCAAACCGCGGCATTATTAACTGAATGGCTGGCATTTTGCATTTCCTTGGTTCAGACATAAATAAATAAATAAATAAATAATAAATAAATAATTGGCCACCACAAACCCCACTTTCTCTCTTGCGCTTTGCAGTTCTGTGCAATGTGTGTATGATACTTCGATCGAACTGCATCGAATAACGCACTACTCTGTGTACGGCCACAATGTGCAGGTGGCGAAGCAATAATTTCACGAATTTGAGAAATGCCCATGCAGTAATCCTTAAATAGTTTTATGTTTGTTGATGATCCCGATGGTGGCGACGACGATGAGAAACCCCAACGTAATGTACGGAAACATCGTTTGGTTGTTGAAGCTTATCGGTTTTGGTTCTCACGCATCGATTACGATGTGAAAAACGCTGAAACGTACATTCTTATATCCCCATTTTCTGTGCTGTGCTCAGTTTAGTGTGTATGTGTTTTCGTTTGCTGACTCGTGGAATGCGGAACCATTGAATCCCTCAATCGGTATGTACTACAGAAACGTGCACATTCATCTACATATTATATTGAATTGATTGGTTGGTTTGTCATGAATACCGGGGCGAATTGAAAAGCATTGATTTTCCACGAGGAAAAAAAAAACAAGAATGATGTTGCTCACATAAACAAAAACCAAAATTGGGCGGGGAAAAAATGTGATATAAAAACAAGAGCGAAGGAGTAATAGAAAAATTTGTCGCCATCAAGAGTTTCAAATTCGATTAAATGTGCGCGTACAGATGCAGGAAATTCGAGTTGCAACATCAAAAGCAACAATCAAATTGAGTAAAGACTATCAAAGCTATACCATTTATATATGTATGACGACACAATCGGCTACCAGTCATCACTGATGGTCCATTGAATGAGTACACGATCGTGTGTTTCTCTCCACCTTTCGGTCTATGTGTATGTGTAGACATTGTGTTCAATAAATTTGGCTGGCTGATAGACAGTCGCAAGGCAAACGATTTTTCACTTTGCTTATCACAAATGATTAGTGTGTATTAGCCGCTGTTTTGATGCAGTTTGCCCGAGTGAAAGAGTTGCCAAAAATGTTCGACATCCAAATAAATCCAATGGAAATTGGTTTCGATGCCACGCAACGTCTAATGCATAAAACATGTCGGTCGATTTGGTCGTAACGAACGATTTTCCAGTCAATCTTTTTAATCTCGGTTGTTTTTCTCCATTATAATGTCCATTCATTCATTCATTCGTTCATTCATTCGTTCGCTTGTTCACAGTAGTCGACCATTGCAAGTAAGCGAGCAAACTCGCGCTTTACTTATAAGCTGTAGCGACTTTAAACTGAATTATTTTCATTATCATTATTATTAAAATTGTTATTGCTTCATGTCGATTAGTTGTATTGCCAATGTGTGCTCAGATGCTTCAATCTATATATGAATATACACATAGAATAAAATGCGATTATTTGCGATTGCTTGGCTCACCCTCATTCTCTGCCCTCCTTTTAATGCATCCGATCTCTCGACTCACTGTGCAAAAACGTCAAACGCTTTGAAACTCATCCAACACACATACAGAAGGAAGAAAGACACACGACAAAGAAAAACTTTCTCAGCGATGTCAAAAGCAAAAACAAGAGCGTATTTCACCGATTTTTTCGCACCATTTTGCCGCTGGATCCGTTCAGCTTTTGTTTCAAGGCATTTTGTGCGAAAATATAACATAATTGACATTTATTGGAAAAGATATTGAAACGGCACACGCGGGGCAAGGCGTGAGCGTGCGCTCGTTCATTCGTTCGTTCGCTCTATCACTCGTTTTGCAGTGAAATGCTTTGTGCGACACTTTTCAATCTTTCAACTCATTGCACACAGCGGCATCCCGTTATTTGCTAAAATGTCTCTCTTTCTTTTCGCCACCATTACACCATATCTATCCATTGGCATTGCCTCTCGCTCTTGCTGTTGATGCTGCTGCTGCTGTTGTGTGTATAATCAATGGTGTCGTAACGGTTTCAGGCTGTTGTACCGCCTTGCCGTTGTCGTTTTCTATTTTTTCTTCTCTCTCTCTCTCTCTCTCTCTCTCTCCCCGTATTCCTCTTTTATTTCCATGCATTAAAGTAAGTTGGCTAAGTAAGCATTTGTCGTCGCGTTTGATGTGCGATATAAACAAAGTGACGCATATAGCAAAAACCAGAGATATGGGATTTTATTAATTAAAGTAATGCATTTGCTGATCCTTCATGTATCCGCTCGTTGTGTCAACATGGATTAAAAATTATACGAAACAATGGATGAACAATAACAATAATAACGTTTATAAGGAATGGAATGGAATGGAATGAAGCGAAGAATTGAAGCAGCGAAGACGACGATGATGGAGAACGAAAGAAATGAGGACGACACGCCGAACTGCGAGTGAACCAAAAACCGACCGAAGAAACCCAACATCATCACTATTTGAGGGCCAAACCGTATAGCATCTAGTCTTGTTTTGTTATATCGTATTAGCCATTGTTCCTTCCTTATTATCCGTTTCCCTTAATTTGGTGCATATCTCATCAGTTAGATGCGCGTTGTTTTAAGTGCTGTTTCTCGCTCGCGCACCCGCTCATTCACTCCATCTCTCTCATTCTGCCCATCTGATCCTTGGGTTATGTTCTTTTTGCTGGCACTCTGCATTTGAAACATTGTAATCAAATGAATGGGCATAATGGTGCGCGTGCGTTCATCCATTCAATCAACGTTTTAATTAACATTTAATAAGATATAAATGCGGTTTTTAATCCTACATTACACCAATTTGACTTAATTTTTTGTTTCTTTTGCTTTTCTCTCTCTCTCTCTCTTGCTCGGCTCTTAATGAATGAATTCGAAAAAGGTCAAAAATTCATCAGTGTCTACACATTTTAAGTGAACATAACATAGCCAATTGTAATTGCTTCATTAAGTCTGCGTCAAAAGTGATGATAATTCTTTATGTTCATAATATAAAGAAAAAAAATGTGGGATTTTTCCATGGTCGCAACAGGAGAAAACGAGCGTTACACATTCCATTCGAATGATT